CCCGATTCTGTGGTGAGAAAAACTATACTATATGGTTGCAAAACAATATCTGAATTTAAACAAAGGCTAAAAATTTATGATAGAATGAGATCGGACAATGATAAGTTTAAAAATCTGAAACCGAAAGTAGACACTCAAGATAAAGATAGAAGTAAGTTTGCGTCATCAAACCGAAATCAATCTAACATTAATAAGGTCAAATGTTTTAATTGCGAGGAATATGGGCATAAGTCATGGCACTGTGTAAACAAATCGAAGGGAATAAAATGTGTTAAATGTAAAACGTTTGGGCATAAATCAAGCGATTGTCAAAGCCAGAACCCCGAAACACAACAAGCAGCTTTAAGTACAACGAATTTTTGACAATAATAGAAATATGAAGACTGTAGAAATAAAAAATCATTTAGTTGATAGTCTAGTTGACACTGGTTCAGATGTGACGATATGCAGCATGGAGTTACACAAGCAGATTGGTTCTCCTAATTTAAATTGTAGCGATATCACATTAAACGGAATTGAATCAAAGCAAACGTACCCCATCGGCTTTTTTATTTCTAATATTTCAATTGATAGTTTTTCACTTTGCATGAAAATTTATGTTGTCAAGTCGTTATGTAATCAAATTGTATTAGGTTTGGATGTAATGAACCAGTTTAACTTCTCTTTTACCGAGAATGGCCTTCAAATAATTTCTCATCGGAATAAAAGTAATGTAAACTTGATAACTGCTGAGTCATCTCGAAATTCTAACGTTGGTTGCGTTATGGGAAATTTGAATATTGCTGTGTCATTGAAGAATGTTTATAATCTTTCTCAATAGTCTGGCGTCTCTGTTAATGTAAACAAAAACCCCGAAAGTGGAAGTCGTTCGGAAATTAATTACCTTTCACATCTGGTGAATGCTATTTCTGTCAATGAGATAGATTTATCGCATATTTCAAATGCAGAACATAAAGAAAGACTGTGTAATTTAATTAATTTGTATCAGCCTCGGAAAAATAGACAATCTGACTTCAAGATGCAAATAAATTTATGCGATGAAATTCCTGTTTCTCAAAATAGAAGATACATGTCTTTCGCGGAACAAAAAATTGTTGACGATCAAATTAAGGAATGGCTAAAAGAAAAAGTAATAAAACCTAGCAACTCTAAGTATGCGGCACGTATCGTTTTGTGTAACAAGCGGGATAATTCTATGAGATTATGCATTGACTTTCAAAAATTAAATAAGAAGATTATTAAAGACAAATTTCCACTGCCTTTAATTCCGGAAATACTAGATCGTTTAGAACAATCGAGAGTCTTCACGACACTAGATTTGAAAAATGGCTTTTTCCACGTAGACATAGATGAAAATTGCACCAAATACACTGCGTTTATAACACATAATGGTATTTATGAATTTCTTAAAGCTCCTTTTGGTTTATGTATTAGTCCAAATGTTTTTCAAAGGTATATTTATTCAGTATTTCGTGACTTGTTAAATGAAGGTGTACTAATTATTTATATGTATGATATAGTCATACCGGCTAATGATGAAGTTGAATGTTTAGACAAATTAGAAAGAGTATTCAAAACTGCTTCGGAATATGGATTAAAAATAAATTTTAAGTGCCAATTTTGAAAACATAAAATTGAATTTTTAGGACACGTAATTGAAAACAGAACTAGTCGACCATCACCTTCTAAAACTGTTGCTGTTCGAAATTTTCTACAACCGCGTAACTGTAAACAACTACAAAGCTTTTTAGGACTAACAGGTTATTTTTGTAAATTTATTCCTCATTATGCTAAAATAGCTAAACCTCTTAGTGACTTATTTAGAAAAGGTATTAATTTTAAGTTTGATTCCGAACAACAGGAAGCTTTTTGCAGATTAAAAGAAATTCTCTCTCAAGCACCTGTTCTACACATATTTAGGCAAGGATATCCATTAGAACTTCATACTGATGCTAGTAGTCAAGGCTTTGGTGTGGTATTACTCCAATTATCTGATGATGGTAATTATCACCCAATCCAGTATATGAGTAAGAAGACTTCCCCGCAGCAAGAGAAACTCTGTAGTTACGAATTAGAAGCCCTTGCAGTTATAGAAGCTCTGAAAAAGTTTAGAAACTATTTGTTAGGGTCTAAATTCAAAATTGTAACTGATTGTAGTGCTTTTCAGAAAACTTTAGATAAGAAAGCTTGAACTCCTAAGATTGCAAGATGGGCAATGTTTATTGAAGAATTAGATTACGAAATTGTACATCGTTCAGGAAGCCAAATGAAACATGCTGATGCTCTAAGTAGAAACGCTTTAATTTTAACATCATACACATCCGATGTAACTGAGAAGATTCGGTTAGCACAACAACAGAATGAAGATGAACATGTGAAACTGATAAAGAATTTAGTTGAGAAGGGAGAAGAAAATGGATTCTTCGTGAGAAATGATATCTTGTACAAATTCGAAAATGGTAAAGATCTGCTAGTAGTGCTAGAGTCCTTGCAGAACGGAATCATACAGAAGGTACATAAAAAAAGGTCACTTTGCTGTAGATAAAACCGTGAATGCTGTAGAGCAAGAATTCTATATTCCCAGACTGAAATGCAAAGTTGAAAAGTAATTGCTAACTGTATAGAATGTATACTACAACAAGAAGCAAGGAAAAGCAGAAGGATTTCTTCATCCTGTACCGAAAGAAAACGTTCCTTTGAGTACGTACCATGTCGACTTTATTGGACCTCTTCCATCGACGAACAAGAGATAAGAACACATTCTGACTGTGATCGATGCTTTTACAAAATTTACTTGGTTCTATCCAGTGAAATCTCCAACTACGTAAGAAGTCATTTCAAAATTGAAGCAACAAAAGACTGTATTTGGAAATCCAGCCAGAATCATTTCAGATCGAGGTAATGCCTTTACATCGAACAAATTTTCAGCGTATTGTACAGAAGAAGGCATAGAACATGTCAAAATTACTACCAGTATTCCAAGAGGTAACGGACAGATTGAGTGAATCCATAGAATTTTGATTCCTGTTTTGTCGAATTTATCACATGAAGATTCAACGAAATGGTTTAAGTATGTTCCAGATGTCCAGAGAATAATCAACAGTACAACTACGAGAAGTACAAAATATTCACCGTTTGAGCTTCTTATAGGCACGAAAATGAAGAACAAAAAAGATCTGAGAATTAGCGAGATATTGAATGAAGAATATTTAAAGCAGTTGATGCAAGAATGTGATGAAATGAGAGAAGATGCTAAAAACAACATTTTGAAGATACAAGAAGAAAATCGTAAGCAATTCAACAAAAAACGTAAGAAACCGAAACTGTACAAGATTGGCGACTTGGTAGCCATTCAGAGAACTCAGTATGGGACTGGTTTGAAACTACGACCTAAGTTTCATGGACCATATAAAATCATAGCTGTTAGACCAAATGACAGATATGAAGTCGAAAAAGTAGGATGCCACGAAGGACCGAATTTGACATCTACTGCGGCTGACCATATGAAGCCATGGTCAAATTGATTTGATGTTTGTATCAGCTCAAAACCTAAGGACCTTATACTCTTTTTCTTTTCTTTTTATTATCTTTGCAGGTACATGATGGTGATGTCAACTCAACAGACATCGAGGACGATGCCTCTTCAGACTGGCCGAAGCTGTAGAGATCAACGACCAATGCTGACTTAGCGAATTGCCAGCAATGACGTCATCGCAGCACAGCGTAGTGCGAAGCATTCCAGACAGCGTCCAGACGTGGTCGAGAGTGGAGGGTACATGTCAGCAGACGGCTCGCTTCGCAATCTTCAAGAGTTGAAGAAGACAGACGGTCTTCTTTAGTGTTTTAGATGATCATACTATTTAAAACTAGCTGGGGACTAACATATTCTATCAACGCCGGAGGAACTAATAGTGTCTGTGCATCATTACATGAATCCTGCAACATTAATTTTTTACTTATTACTTTATCTATTTCTTATTATTAAAATAAAAGCATTTTAAAATGCTCGTGCTGTCACAGATCCAAAAGAAAACCCCACATACATGCATTAACTTAATTGTCTCCATTTAATTTGACCAATACAAGAATTTGAATTATGCACAGTATACTGCAGAGCATCAACAAAGTTGTGATAATTCTCATTAATGACTGGTTTGAAATTTCATTCATTAATTTAACAGTCAGACTTTGCTTAGAACAGCAAAACCTGATCTTTAAAGTTCTCATAATTCTCAATAATATTCAGGATACAGTGCTGAACCCTCACAACACTGCATTCAAATATAGAGGTTTTATTCCCTTCATTGAACACCATTTTCTTAACACAATCAATGGACCAGGAATCATACAAACATTCAAAGCTTATTACGTCAGGCAAGTTTACATCATTGCAAATAAAGTACTACACAAAGGAAAGTGACTTACTAATGGCATTTTGAAAAGAATTCAAAATAAGACACTGCATAAAGATTAAACTGGCATGGTAACGCATGAATTCATCAATAATAAATGCTTGCTGGCATCAAATTCTGGCCAGAAGTTGTCAATAAGTTTAAAGGATTTTCCTCTATTGAAAATGAGACGAAGAAAATTTTACAAATTGCAAAAGCAAAGGATTTAGATGGCAAAGGATTTTCATATATGGATGAAGGAGAAATCAAAGGATTAGTCAAGAATGATGATCATGAAATGACAAATGTAGAACTGGATGATTTTATAACACCAATAGATGATGAAAGCAGCAATACTGAAGAAGATAAAGGGCCTCTGACATACAAGACATCAAAAAAATTGTTAAAAAAGGACACAGAAACTGATCTGATTTTTAAATGGAAATTTATCCAAATGATGAAGGAAGATACTTAAAGAAAGGTGTTGAAAAACTTTTCACTTCTTACAGCGAAATGTTTAATGAGATGCATCACACATCATCCCAAGCAAAAATCAACTGCTTAAAAAAAATTGTATCATGTACCTGAAATCCTTTCAATCAGCATTTGTTTCATTTTCCACTTTAATTATTATAACATTTAGGCATGTATAGATTATACATACTTTCTTTCTCTGAACTTTACCTAACACTTTTTTTTTCCACAGAAAGTTAACTTTGCTGAATACGATTTTACTATACATGCAACGATTTAATGACATAATCCCCACATTCAACAAAGATATACTGTACATAATAAAAACATTGATTGAGCATTCATCATTAAAATATATTAAAAGTAACACAACATCATGAAAATCTGAAATAATAGTCAAAGGAACATAGTGATAAATTTGCTTCAGTGCTGAAATAATATCAATGGATGCAGCATTAATGTACAGGAAAAATGACTAGCGAAAAAAAAAATTACAATGCAAATTATACTTTTGGTCAAAAGGAACACTGTACAATAATTAGAATATTTTTAATAAATAAAATATGCATAATAAACGTACTGGTTGGATTCTCCTTACATGAATTGATAAAAAAATAATGTCAAACTATTAAAATCAGTAAATGTGTACAAAAGAAACAAAGTGACAAACTGGTTCCAAGCAAACCAAACGATGTTCAAGAATAACACACATTAAAAAAAGACTGCTAAATAAAAATATTAAAATGCAAATTGTAATCAGAATAATAAAAAAAAAAACTGATACTTAGAACTTTTTGTTAAAGAAATATGATATTTGATTTTTTTCCCATTAAAATAAAAAAAATTCAGAAAACATTTTTTAAAAATTTCTTTTTATCTTTCTATGAAGGTTAGAATTTGGGAAAAATATCACTTAATATTTAAAAAGGTATGGTAAATATACATCAAAATCTTTGTAGTTTCTAAAACCCTAAAGAATGTTAGTTTAATTTAGTAAAACTAAACAGGAAAAGCTTTGATTTAAAAAATCTAACACAGTTAATATTTATTATCACAAGTTTTGATGTCTACATTATTTATATACCTATTATTATTTATATTATTTTGAATATAAAAAAATATTAAGTATATAAATGATGTCTATTATTATTTTAAATTACAAGTCTATTATAAATAATAATAGACATATAAATTACATCTATTATTAAGGAATATTTCATTTTCTTCAATGACTGAAATTATGAAAAAATATTTTTTAATGCTAATAATATGAAAGAGCTGTGCCTTGAACTTTCCTAAACACAAGAATTTGAAAACAGTAATCTAAATAATAAGATACATGCCAATTATGGAACGATAGTATAATTTATTAAGACTAGATAGAATTAATTTTAAAATATACAATAATTTGTATTTATCTATCTGAGGTCTTAATATTTACATTACTTATATGTCTATTATTATTAACATTATTTTGAATATCTAATGTTTTTTCAGAAAATGCTACAGGAATATCAGAATAATCATCTTTCTTCTGTAAAGTTTCTCTTTTTTTAATGAATGAATCTTGGCTTTTCAAATTATCAGGAACACTTTTTGGTGCCTCTGTATCAGGAGAAAGAGGTAAATTGCTTACATTAGGCTGTAGAAGAAGACTTGTATTTTTATTTATTTCACGCAGTCTACTTTGTACTGACACAACAGTTAAATTCTGCTTCACTTTTTCAACATCTTTTACAGGTGTAGCTTTTTTCACTTCTTTGGGTAAAGGCACATTAGCATTCTGAGACAAAGGCTTTGCCTCTATAACTTCCTGGACTTCACCTATAACATTTTCAGCTATAACTTGTTGTTTAGGCACACTAACAGAAGAATTTTTTGCAGGAAGTTGCAATTTTATTTTTTCCTTTCTCCTCTCAGGTAAAATATTTTCTTTTTTAAGTTCAAGAGGAACAGATTCTATATTTTTGGACTCAATATTTTGTTTTACTTTACTGTTAGAAGTGGTTTTCAGTGGAATGTCTGGAGGTTTTTCAGAGGGAAAGGGAACTTTACTCTCAGGTCTTACATCTGGTTTATCTGCTAAATCAACTCTATGTTGCTCTTCATGGCTTTCTTTATGAAGTTTCAATTCTTGCAACACTTTCTTTTGTTCTTCTAAAATTAATTTCTGTTCCTTGTGTTGCTCTTCTAATTTCTGTAACAGTTTTTCTTGTTTGTCCAAATCCTTATCTTTCTTTGCGGAATCAATTACATTCGAAGATGGTAAATTCAGATTTTTCTGAATTTCCTTATCTTCTTTCTGAAGAGCCTGAGGATCGAGATCAGCATTCTGTTCCAACTGAAACCATAAAAGAAGAAAAATAAGACTCGTAAAGGAAAAAAAGAATGGGAAATGTAAAAAAAGAATATTATAACTTAATTCACATAAAATTCAAAACTGCAATCTGATTTTAACTGCACTGCATTCAGAATTAAAAAGTAATTGTAAAATGCACAAAAACTGATTAAATTTTCACTTAATGCTACTAAATAGAAGGAGCAAATAAAGCATATATACAAGTCAGAAAAATAAACTGTTTGACATCATTCATATATTTGGGTTACAACTAAAGCTGTAAGTTTCAAAGTAGTTGCATACTGTTGATTATACCTTAAAAACACCATTTATATTAAGGCTAGATATGGTTGGCAATTTATAAATTCAAGAATGATCAAATATAGTTGGACGCACAGAGCTGATTATTTCACATAAAGTGTGATCTCAAGAATCTTGAATTGCTTCTAAACATAAGAACAATGAAATGTCTTACATGTTAAGATCATTCTAGGATAACTACAGCACCTAAAGACTCATATACATCATTGCTGCCACAAAGAAACCATTGTGGAACTACTAGACTTGGGACTTTTCAGCAGATCTGTTGTTTATCAAGGGATTCATGAGCATGATTTTTATGTGAAAAGACAATTGTAATATCATTATATTCAACTTTTGAACAAGTTATATGTCTTATAAATGCTCATGCAGAATTTTTATTTATTTATTTGGAGGAGATTGCTTGTTGCAAGAGCTTAATATGATTTTAAAATTATCCTTTAATTTTGAATACCAGTTTATAATTCTTTAATTACTAATGAGAAATATTTTATACAGATATTTTGTTTCTCAGTAGGTTAGTTACTTTATTCTTTATTTAGTAAGGGTAATACTTCTTAATTTTTATTCCACATAATAAATTACATGAGTATTGAATGAATATATAATAAATCCAACCTTTCGCTGTTCTTCGTTGATTTCTTTATGAAGTTCTTGTAATACTTCCTTTTGTTCTTCTAAAATTATTTTCTGTTCTTTCTGCTGTTCTTCCAATTTCTGCAACAACAGTTTTCTTATGAAACTCATCTTCTTGCAGTGTGAAATTACAACAATTTGATTTTGAATTACATCAAACAGACAGACTCATTAACATAAATGTAGTCATTTGATGCAATTTGCCATACTGCTTGGCTAGTACGTGACACATTATAATGACAGATATCTATAGCAAAGTTTGACAAACCAGGAAGATGTGGTTATATGCTCTGTTGCTGGATTTTGCTTTCTTAAACAGAATCTTGCTATATAATATTCAATCATAATGATGCTGGAAGCAGTAGTAAATGCCAACTGCTTCCAGGTATTTCCAAACCACATGCTTGCAGCCTTATTAAATAGCAACCCCACCAGATATTTCCATGCCACATTATTGAGGTTTTATTGTACCTGCCTAGCAGTAGGTATGACTTTATGTAGAACTTAAACAAAATTGGTCTACATTTATATCATACATGAGGAATACTATCATATGCTTTTAAAGTTTAATACTAGTTTTAAATGCAGTTGAAACTAAATGATGCAAAAATTTTATTACAACAGAATTTTACTATTTTAAAGAAAATCTCAAAAATAAAAGAAAATTTTAGAATTGTTTGCCAACCATGTAAGATATAGGCTGTCCCAACAAAAGTGCCAGATTCAATGTGGCACAATTTTTTTTTTTTTTTTTTTTTTTTAGAAAACAGAAAATATTGGGTTTTAACAAAAGTTTCTTGCTACCACACACCTGTATATTGTTTGTGCAAACAATTTACGTTGCCGTGTTTAAGCATATTTTGCCAAAGGATTTTTTACCATTTGAAAGAAACAGACTTGCTTTAGAACACTATGTTGTGAAATTTGTAAAAAAATGTCATTATCATTAAGTATAAGGTGTCTGAAATGATATTATGACACTACCAGGTTAGAACCATCATTTACATACAGTTCTGTCGCAAAAAGTCAGCGAAAAAATGTCATCAAATTATGTGTTTAGCTTTAGTACTAACGTTGTATTATATGACACTGTGAAAGTTTGGTACTGAAAGTTCAAAAACAAGGAATATGACATTCAAGAAGCACAGTACAAAATGGAAGAGCAACTTTTGATTGTGAAAACTAAATACAGTCAAAAGTCTTTAATCCGGACTCGTCGGGACTTCAGTGATTCCGGATTATCGGTTTTTCTGGATTATAGATCATCAGTTTAAATCTGGTAAGATGGCATGCAGAAAATCATAAAAATTAAAAATATGAAAACGTAATTTATGAAATAAAGAGCAATTATTGATCTAAAGGGTATCAAAATTTACAAAAAAAAAAAAAAAAAAAAAAGCTTAATATTATTTCTTTACTTATTAAACATTTCTTTCAACGCGTGCATGCGTAAAGCATTACATTACACATAGTCGAAATTAGAAAATTGCAACGACGAGAAAACTATTTGATGTGTATTCGTGATATTTATAATGACAAGGAATTTGATTTAAATCATATCAAAGATGGAGTACATCGAGATGAAAATACTACATTTAGTAAGGAATTATAAGGCCGAATAAAATAAAAACATCTGCCCTGAAACGATAAAGGACAGTGCTGACAGATCAAACTTCCAGTTCATTGAGCGCATCGAGACGTTCCTCCCCCCTCTACGCAGAGCAGCGTGAAATTTGATAAACAAGATTTCGGAATGGTTAGAGAAACAAAGGATAGGGCCTTTATCCATTTTTTGCAGCAATTCCACTTTTTGCTTTGATGGACATCGAAACATGCTTTCTGCTTTGTAGATCCTTTGGCAGCTCAGAATCGGAAATTCTTTATGACATAATCGAAAGTTCAAGCTTACTTTTATAAAACTGCTCTAACAGTCTGAAAAAAATAATAATCCAGATCCAATTAGAAGATTAAGGAACAACACAATCTGCAACATTAACTGAAATAGATAATTTTAGCTTAGCTTATACTGTGCATTATACATTAAACGCGCATGCATAAATGTAGGATGTGCATGCGTAAATGTATTATGCACATAAGTAAACGCATTATGTGTTTACGCGTGCACAGAAAGTTTGTAGCTTTGAGGACCGGATTATAGATCATTCCGGATTAAAGACTTTTGACTGTATAACTAAATAAATGAAAACATGGACAAACAATGACATTTAAAAACACACTTTGAAACTCGTACAATAAATACAATCATAAAAACAGACTATAAACTAACGTTATTTCTCACAAAGATTGGATCAAACAACTGGTCAACAAATGTAAAAAACCCTCATTATTTTTGGAAAAGGAAAAATAAACTCAAATAAAATAAAATGAAAAAATAATGCATCAATTTAACTAAAAAATTGCAAAACGTGAAAGAAAGTACATGAAGTTAAATCTTAATCTTCCATTCAATAAAAGAAAAAACAAGAAATTCCTATAAATGAAATTTAAAAAAAAAAAGAAAATTATTTATATTATATTCATCATGGGGTGTTAGAATATCCTACTATATATGGCAAAATACAAGAGGTATCTGCTTGAGGATTGACGAAGGCATGGACATTATTTTCCCAACAGAAATTGGCTCGTATTTATATTATACATGATAATAATAATATACGTATTATGCTTATTGGGGTTCATTTTTACATCTTTTATAAAAACCCAGAAACATTTCGGTACTTAACAGAATTATGATAAAATATCTACTCTTTAACCAGAGCTATAATTTATCATAAATTTTAAACAGCAATTTATAGGTTAGTGAAGGGTTTGGATTTCAAAGAGTTAAATTGGATCATGCCACTATATTGGCTTAGGATTTCCTACACCTTTTTGTCAACCGATATTAGTCCAAGTACAGCAGTTCATGTTTGTTAATAATTTGTACACGTTTCTCCTTGCAGTAATCCACAATTTTTGTGACATGTGATCAGAAAAACATTTCTTTTTTCTGCAGCTAACACCATTGTTATACTACGGCAAATCTTTAAAGATAATGTTTTGCATAAATCATGTGTGTATGAATAGTTTTTCAGATTAAAAAATGGCAGCATGCCTAATAAAAACACAACAACTTGGGAGAAGAGACGAGGAAAATATTGAAAAAGTGTAAGAAGCTAAAAAATAAATAAATAAAATAAAAATAAAAATAAATAAATTTCTGAAGACAATTCACTCTTCCTATTTGACATAATTCTTGGAGAATAAAAGTATGTCATTAATTCATGTTCTAACTAAGTGAGACCTTTTTTTATTTCCTCAGGTAAAAAAATGCTCTCAAAAACCAATTCAGAGGATTTTAAAAAAGAGCAATTCTGTTAGCTGGATGAGCTGTAAGAAAATATATTGCAAGCCCTGAATAATATTCCAGGTCCAGAGTTCCAAAACTGTTTCCAGTAGTGTGCAAAACATTCGGAAAAGTATATGAATTCTGAAGACTACTCTGAAGGGCATGTAAAAAATATTAATATTAACAGTAATGCATAATTCTTTAAAAATAATTCGAATTTTTTTGAATACTCCTTTGCACAAGTTCATGAATTGTATGAAATTTAGTTAATAAAAATGCTCAATGCTATGTTTACTCATTGAATTAATTTTTGCAATGCACATAACAGATTACGTGCCTGAAAATAAAGGATACTTTCGAAGAAGATTTTCAAAAGAAATGTGGACAATGGACGATACTGTGACCAGAGCAGGACATGGAAGCTAGAGCAGGAAAGAAGGACAAAAAAAGGCAGTGTAGTTGGATTTATAGTGGTATTTATAGTAAAATGTTTCCTTAATCTGATTGGTAAGAACTATATGCAATGCAGAAGGTTAAGATGACAAAATGGACAAGTAGTTTTAAAATATGATGCAATCTTGATAAAGCTACTGTTATTTGTAGAATAGAGAGGAAGTGTCCAAATTAAAAAGAGGAATTAAGAGGTTATTGATAATTTAATGTATATTTCATATTTACATATTTTTTACTTCACATATATACATGATGTCATTATTATAATTAAGGAGATAAACAGCTTTTTCAAATTATAAAATGATTTCATATTATTTATAACAACATTACATTATATAAGCAAATATAATTTTGTTAAATTTATAATAGCACATGAAGCATATAAATGAATACATTTATATAATATATACCTTTTAAATGTTTCATCTTTTTAATCAAATAATCTTTTAATTTAAAAGAAAAGTACACACGGTGAGTAATAAACTAAAAACGTTTAACTTAAGTAAAAACGTTTTACCTTTACTTCAGGTTCTTGAGGTATAGGAGGTTCTAAACGCTTTTGATCTAAAGAGAAAAAGGAAATAATAAAATATTCCATGCTGAAAATCTAGGTATGAATTATAGAGATATACTTTTTAATTAAGATGCTTATTTTAAAAATTTATCAACAATTAAATAATTTGACACACATATATACATATACATTAAGGCTAATATGTAATTAGCAAATTGTAATGGCAGTAACATAACAGATCTAAGATTCTGAGTTTCAATAGAATATACATCCTTCGTCAAAAAAAGTTCCAAGACAGTTTTTTTTATTTCTGAGTTTGCAGTACTGAAATGGAACAAATGTTGTTTTTATGTTACCTGGTATGAATTCTTACTTGACAAGACCTTGACCATGTTTCCATACAAACTTACTAGGAAGCAGGGCTGCGCTTAGCAATACACTGTTTGTATTGTTATCACATTCATTAAAGTGACACAATGGATGCTGATTGTGAGCAAAGTATAAACATTAAGTTCTGCGTTATTGCAAGAAGACCACTGTATAACTGTGTGTATGATATCAGAAGAACTTAATTTGAATCAGGATGTGTGTCATGAGATTTTACGCGAAGATCTAGGGAAGCGGAAACTTAATGCAAGAATCGTCCCTCATTCACAAACAGATGAAGAATTTCTGCTAAATTATTGGAAAAAGATAGACATGATCCCACATTTGTGTCAAAGGTTAATGTAATTTTTTTGTTTCCATTAGTGGAAAGGTGACTGAAAGGAAAGCATCAAGATTATTGCAGACATCCAACAGGCTGTGACAAATGAGCTTGCAAGCATCGCAGTTGAAGATTTCCCTGCTTGCTTCCAAGACCTCCAGAAACGTAGGCAGTTTTGTATAGATAGCCAAAGGGACTACTTTGATAGCTGCTAGGATCATTACTTGTAAATTCAATTTTCTATTTTTTACGACCTTTGTCCTGGAACTTTTTTGATTAAGGATGTATGATTCAATTTCTTTTAAATGAAATTTCTGAATTCATAAAATATTGAAGTTTAAATAAAAAAATCTCAAAACATAAATTAGAAATTTTAAATTGGATTAAAAATTTGAAAGAGTTTTTAAACATAAAAGAAGCTTAAAACATCCCTAAACATGAATGAAGACTTGAACTGCAGTAATCTTCAAATCTGATATCTGAGAGTAATTGAATATTTTGTACTGATAACCAATTTTTAGATAGCTTGATTTAACCCTTTTAGAATCTGCTCATAAAGGCCTGTATTTAAACAAAAAATTTTAGCTAAATTTGTATAGTACATATTTCTGTTTTCACAAACTTCCATTTATTAAGATTATATTTACACCATTAAAGAAGATAAGAAAGTGAAGTATTTTATATTACAATCTACACTAAGTGACAAAAAAAATCTCGCATTTGGATTAAGACACTCATGATACTTAGTACTTTGGTTAATAACCATTTCATATTAAAACATCTTTTCCTGCTGCATTTATGGGTTTTGCCTTCTTTAAAATGGGAGAACAATGTGATTTTTCAGGCAGAGTTTGCCTTTTTGTTTTAAAGATCACTGTGAACTGTGATGTAATAACCATCCACTAGTAGTAATGATAAATTTTAAGTATGCCTTATCATTCTATACTACTATATTCTTAAGTTCTTGATGCTCATCTACATGCACTTGTGAAATGTATTATATTTCAGCGATTTGATCCACTACTAACTGGCGATTTTCTTGAATAATGATGTGTATTTATCACACAGTTGTAAACTCTGTGTGATAAATACACATATCATTACTTCTGTGTGTATTTATCACACAGAAGTACTGCTAATAAGAGCACTTCAAGTAATTTGATTTGAAAATGAAACATGTCCTTTCTTACATTGGTTGAATTACTCCAATGCTGTTGACCACAATAAACATCTTTACCACATGTTTATTGCAACATTTCACATGCATCTGTACATGAAAGCAAAACTTCAAGCTTGCATTATGTTTATCACAAACAGATGCCATTCTCTGTACATAAAAGTAGTCATCATATATTTCAGTTTTGTTTCAACCAAATACATTCCTAGGTTTAATTTAAAATTCTTCAACTCCTTCAAGCACATTCACAAACATTTATTTCCTAACTATACACAATTTGTGTGTTAAAAAATAAATTTCTTCTCAGTCTTTCTAGAGATAGCTTATATATATGAAATAAACAAATAAATATATTTTTAGACTCATACAAATAAGAAATACTTTTTTTAAACAAATATATAAACTTATTTTGCCTTGTCATGCATTTGCTGTAGCTGCTATGAAAATGGTAAAACTAATTATTCTATCAACTGCAAGAGAATGAACTGAATAATTTTATAGCAGCTAAATGAAAATTTCCATATTTTCTACAGTAATTTACCACAAGTTTTACTCTTGAAATACATCTTAAAAATACAGAATAATTTGTGGTAGAAATCCTGTACTTTCTAAACAATTAAATGGTTGCATTTTTATAGCTGAGCAATAAAACTATATTTATGTCCAGTAATTAAAATATAAATTAATAGCAAATTACTCTTCTCTCTTCTTTCTAAAATGCTTTTAATTCTGGAACCGGCAACGTTGCTCTTCGTTGCATAAATATGTGTTTGCTACAACATTAAATTTACTCTGTATTTCTAATAATTTCACAGCAGTTTATATAATACAATCTAATAACTATGCATATAGCATTTCTGAAAAGACAGAATCTGCCAATAACAGCCACTATCAAAGAAACCATAATCTAATCTAATTTCATGATATTCATAAATATGTATACATAATATTGCAACTACCTAAATGCCAGATTTATAATGATGAATCTAATACTTCATGTTACTGCAACTTAAAAACTATTTCCTAATTATTCATAAACCTTTTTTTTAAATTAAAAACAAAGTATATTTCATTTTTAATAAAAAATATTATGAAAAACATTTGATAGTAAAACTACTATCCTATCAAAACAAACAACAACAAATAATAATGGAAAAACAAAATGAAATAATAAAAATCGTGGTTTTAATTATGCCCACCATTTGATACTGTGTTGTCCTTTTTCACTTTCTTTTCTTCCTTAACAACATTTATGTCATCTTTAAGAGATATAACTAGAAAATTAAAAATGTACTTTTGATTAATTGAAATGCAAAAATAAATAAATGTACAAATTAGTATAATAATTACATATTCATTAAATGCAATTTGACACATCAGAATTCTTCATTTAAAAACCTTAGTCTAAGAAAGGGTAGAAAAACAACTTAATTTTTATAGTTATAATATGCAAGCATACTCTGTGGATCTTTCATATCAGGTGCAATTGAACTTATAGTCAAAAGTGGCCCAGGTGTAACTTTGAGAAGATTCTTAACTGGCTCAGGTACAGGCTCTGGTTGAGTGTTGGTTTCATGTAAAGTAGAATATGTGCATGCAATTAAAATAAATACTCCGATCCCCATAAGAATCTAGGATGGAAAAATACATATATAAGTTTAGTTACCAAATGCTATAACTTTAAAAAATGGCTAAAGGAAAATACAGAAATTTGAATTTTAAACTTTCTTATGAATTTACATGATATTGTTATAAACACAGCATGGTACAACAGTAGGGTTACAGATGGGCTTTTGCTCCAAAGATAGATATTTTCCAAGCTCCAGTCATATAGCTTGATAATGAACACATGTATTAAATTGGATTTCTTTAAAATCTTTTTAATAAGATCATAAAATTATCAAGAGTTGTTCATAGCACTTAGTACAGTGGTAAAATTTTGAAATTTAAGAAATCAATTTTTTTTTTTAAATTTTGTTACTGGGACAGGGGGGGAGATAATACTACAATGAGTGAGTATCATTGCCCTCATGTAGTTCATATCATGTACCTTGAACTTTACAAATGACTCAAACTCTATACTAGTAGTTCCCAAACATTTTTGAGTCACAGCACAGGCTTAACGAACAGATACACACCAAAACAGTGTGGTTAGCTGGTTTAAATTAAAAAAATAAATTAAACAAATATTTCAAAATCAAAAGCAATTCATGTATGTTTTTTTTTTTTTTAATGGTATTCCAAAAGTGAATTAGTTCCTCCACTGTTCACTTTTCCCTTCAACGTACAGTTGCACAACAGCTCAACAATTTTTTTTTTTTAAAATTTTTTTTTACAGAAGTAAAGTCAAATAGTAGCCCTAACGAAACCTTGAATCCATACAGGTCAGCTGACATTATTCCCTTGAAAGCAATTTTCAAATTAACTGATAAACTGATTAGTGCTTTTTAAAAACAACTGCAAAATTAAGCAAAATTAACCTTTAAATTACAACTGCTTAAATTATCTGAATTTGAGACAAATTCTCGTGTTCACATTTAACTAATATTCTCAACTTTATACACAAGGTAAAACTTAGTTTATTAAAAGGTATGTTTTGCAATACACCTAATTAAGAAAAACTCTGCTATTTGAGGAAAACACAGAAACACAAATACTATTACTATATCAAGAATCTCTACATATAATAAAAGAAAGAGTCCGTCTGTGTGTGTGTCAGTGTGTCTTTTGTTCGAGTTGCGCGTAAGTTAACAGACCCACGGCTATGGAATTTGGTACATAGGTGCATCTAGACAACAGCCAGTACACCTCAAAGCGATTTTTTCTAAATTTGAATTTTTTTTATTTTAAGTTTTGTGATGAAATCGTGTCATTTTGAGCCATAATGTGTTATAGGAAAGCGAGATTTTACTCTACACACTCCATTTTCACATCGTCATGAAACGTAGGCACTTAGCTATTTTCTGAACTTAAAATAAATTTCATGTTTCAATAAATCGATTAAATACGAATTTATTTAACAAAGTGAGCTTAACACCTTTTCAAAGGGATTTTTTCTAAAAAAGTTTATTTTTAAAAATGTACAGTTTATTTTTCTTTGATTTTTGGACACGTTAAACTTTCATCCTTGCAACTGCTTTTACAAAAAGAATTTTGAAAAATGATAATATTTTGTATTTAAAAAAATTTTTTAAATGAAACTTCCGAGTATACTTCTCGCATCTCACATCTTTAAAAATGTGATTTTGGCAAACAATTTTCCTTTCTTATTGTTGTTTGATAGATTTTTGATGAAATTGCATCATTTGAATAGTTTCATTCTTTTAGAAATATGGGTTTGGCAACAATTTTTCATCGTATGTCACTGTTTTTAAGAGATCGGCATATTTCATTGTCATTTTTTTATATATATAATACATTTTTATTGATTTTTTTTGATAAAGTTGTTCTGCAGAGTAAAATTCTGTGTGGAATTTTTTGTTTTAAGTATCTTTCATGTTATTTTTTGCTTATTTCACTATTTGTATGATAAATGAAATTTTAGCATGATTTTTTTCTTCAACAGAAAGTTTGTTAATTTTTTTATTAGGATAATTAATATTTGTATTAAGGGATATAGCTTATTTCATTGTAATTTTTTTCTCTTGAAAATATAAGATAAAACATCATTAATTATACTTTGCTTTTCAGAATTTTTTGTTTTTTGTATTCTTTTATGTTATTTACTGCTCATTTCACTGTCTTTAAGATACTGAAAAGTTTTGAGTGATTTTTTTAAGAAAAAAAGTCCTTAACCTCCCTTTATACCATTTGAGTTCTTAAGATTTTGCAAAGGGAAGTTGGTTAATTTATTTATTATGATAATTAATATTTGTATTAAGGGATATTGCTTATTTCATTGTAACTTTGTTATACGTAAAAACTTTTTTTTTATGAAGTTGTTCTGCAGAGTAAAATTCTAAGCTGTTTTTAAATTTAACATTTGGTATTCCCTTCAGCCATTTTTCCGGTACATTTAAAAGCCAGACGAAGGCTGGCAGTGAAGCTGCTAGTGTACAATAAAGCTTTTTATAAGCCCAGCTCCAACTATTGTGGTTTCTATTCAAACAAGCTTCTGCATTCAAAATCACCTCATCAAACCTAGATCAGTGCACAGGGAAACTATTGAGAAAATAAAAGCACATTAGCAAGTTACCATAACTTCCTTTTTAAATTACAGATTTGCCCATTATTTAAACTCAATCTAATTTGCATTATGGTTAATGCTAGCAGAAGAATCAGAAATTACAAGAAAGAATTAATAAAAATCTGATACAGCCATTTGTACCGCATTCGTATCATATAGCATGAATCCATTAATGAATGGTTCAGTTCTAAAGCCATAAGATTAAGTATTCTTTCAGGGTTCGTACACATTTCTGCACACGGAAATTAAGTACTTTTAAGGACTTTTAATTACCATTAATGAAAAAAAGTAAGGATCTATGAGCAAATGGGAACTGAATAAATTCATTTAAAAATATTATTCTATGCCTGAATTTCACTTTTGTAATATCATCCTAAAAATAAAATAGATCCCTAAGTAGTATGCATAATTACTAAGCAGGAATTAATTAACATTAATTAACATAATTGACAAAATCTAGACTAAACCTGGACTCATCTGTAAAGAGAACCACCCTCCATTGATCATGCGTCCAGTGCACATGTTGTCGTGCCCACTGAAAACGGTCCTTCCTATGGCGTCACATGAGCGTCACACAAATGGCTGGTCGCCCTGCATACACAGACCCTTCGTGAAGCCTTCTACGCACAGTTGGCGTTGACACGAACCTTCCAGTGGCTGCCAGCAAGGGAGAATCTAAGAAGAGTAGGAGTAGCGGTTCTATTTTTGCGTGCACAATAATGTCAAATATCGGTCATCGGCGCTCGTCGTAGCAGTTGGCCATCCTTCGCTGAACCTCCTAGATGCCGAATCTGTGGTTTGAAATTGCCTCCAAAGTCTATGAACCACAGAAGGACTCACATTTAGCCATCTGGCCACTTCTGTTTGACTTTGTCCTGCCTGTAGTCTCCCAATGGCTCTCCATCGCAGTTCTGCATTCAAATGATGCCTGGAGGTCATTGTTACGAATTGGCTATCTCAGATTTCTGATGTCACTGTCACAGTTAAATATATGGGCTTGCTCTCAAACATGGACTTTTATGCTCCTCGCAGATGACATATTCCGAGTGCAGCGCCACTAATTTGCATATTGCAGTTTTACTCAGCTACTCTTACTTGGCAATATATTCAAATTTTACACGGTTTGGCTTATTTTTGAGGAAGTTATCACTATTTTTGTGATTTTTCCTTAATTTATGATAACCAGTGTAGGTTGGACATATTTGAAAGAACATAAGTGACATTTACGTTTTACTAATGGTTAGCTTTATGTTGATTTTTTTTATCACTTATTTTGTCACATACTTGATCAGTCTAGACCAGAGGTTCTCAACCGGTGGTACACAAGAAAAAAATAGGTTGTGTACAAAGAAGCAAAGTATTTTTAACTCTTTATTTCAAAAGTTAAAATCCCAACATCCTGATTGAGTTTTTTCTCTTAGCACTCGTAAATTTATGTGATCTGCGCTTTGTTCAAGATTGATGGTGGTAGTACTTTGTAGTAATGGTACTAAAGGGTTTCAATTTTTGTTTAGATGGTACACGTTAGTCAAAAGGTTGAGAACTGCTGGTCTAGAGGTTTAATAACAGGTAGATTTTATGTCAAACGGCAGAGGTTAAAATGAGAAGTAAGATCATAATCAGCATGATTCATAACAAAAGACTGAATATTATCACTGCTGCTGCTTGTCTAGAGAGAGACCTGCTGATTAGAACAAACTTGAAAGGC